TAAAGCCCGCCCTGACAATTTGATTGGATCGCCTGACAGTGGGCTTTAATACTCGCGCTACTATGGAGCAGAGCCAGACCGAACTTCCCCGAACTCAAATTTTTTTGGCGGGACTAAGTTCGGACTGGCACCCAGGCTAGCATAAAGGCTGATTCATGCTCAGAAACCAGGTTGCCTGCATCTGTGTCACCGTGAACACAAATGTGTCCCGCCCCTTCCCTAGACACTCTGATGCACCCTCCAAAATTGTAGGTGACCGCAGACAGGAGGCCTCTGATTGGTCAGATCTACATCCGCTCTACACCATGCGTATTTCCTGTTTGGTTCCTTACCGGCTTGTTTTGTTTTAATGACCTCCATTGTAAAAAACCACTGGTGAATATGGACCAGGTAGAAGAGCGAGGTGCTTGAGAACGCTGGGGTCCTTTTTCCACCTGGATCCCCGCTCTTTTTGGCCCTCATGTCCCTCCGTTGTCGCACAAACTTGGCCTCACTTTCTCACCGCCTCGGCCTCACAGCTAGTTTCTGATTGGCCCTCTGGCTTTGTTGGGTGGAATAACATAGCTCAGACCACGCTTCAGTATTCGGCATAAATCAAAAATATCTGCAACAACCTCACTGCGACACACTGCTGCAACAGGATAACCAGACATTAATACCTGGACAGCTCAGCTCCTAGGATCATTCAGGCAATCAAACAACCCACCACGTTAAGGTGGCAGCTCGTGGGACACTTTACTCATCATTAAAGATTAAATATGTTTCTTGCGTAACTAAAAAATATATATTGATACATTTAGAATTTATTTTATTTTATAATTAAATTTTTATTAAATTTTTAAGGTCATTGGGTGAGTGGGGCGGTGCCCTCTGTTGGTCAGCCGCCTCTGGATGATTGTGTCTAAAGTGGTGTAGTGCTGCCACCTGCTGGTGGTGCTACATAAATAACTTGTGTCTAAAGTGGTGAGTGCTGCCACCTGTTGGTGGTGTTAAATAAATAACTTGTGTCTAAAGTTGTGTAGTGCTGCCACCTGCTGGTGGTGTTACATAAATAACTTGTGTCTAAAGTGGTGAGTGCTGCCACCTGCTGGTGGTGTTAAATAAATAACCAGCTGTCCCTTTAATCTCCCAGTGGACACGCGTGCCTACAAAGTCCAGAACCTCCAGTGGACCCCGGACTTCTCCGGAGCCGTTACTGTGACCTGGTCACGCCCCAAAAACCTGCCCCTGAACTCCTGCTACTTCCTGGTCTACTACAGGTGAGCTCTGTCACCAGGAAGGTGGGGAGATCTGAGCTTTATGCTCCGCCCCCACATGCCTCACCCATGGTTTCTGTGTCCAGGCTGGTGGGGACACAGCAGTGGACCAGCATGGACACCCACAGCAACAAAA